ACGTGGGGAGAGGGCAGACCAGGAGGGAGCATGGGGCCTGCAGAGGATGACAGAGGCAGCCTGGCAGGAGGGGAGAGAAGGGGCACTGGGAGGGATGGTTTGGGGAGCAGAGCTCTGCAGACAGAGCAGGCCAGGTGAGGAAGAGGTGAGTGCACGGACATTCTGGGAGCAGAGTCCACAGACAGTGAGGAACTGGGGAGGGTGTGGACTCAGGACCCAGACAGAAAGGCCCTTTGCCTGGCTGGTGTAGCTCAGTGGTTGAGAGTCAACCCAGGAACGAGATGATGGTTTGATTCCTGGTCAGGGCACATGCCCGGGTTGCGGGCTCAATCCCCATAGGGGGTGTGCGGGAGGCAGCCAATTGATCATTCTCTCATCATTGAGGTTTCTATCTCTCTCCCTCTCCCTTCCTCTTTGAAATCAATAAAAACATATTTTTTTAAAAAGAAAAGAAAGGCAGTTTACTTTCCCAGCTACTGGGACCAGAGAACAGCACAGCCTTGAAGCAGGGGGCAGAGATAATGTCAAACACACAAGAAAGGTAGAATTTCAGGTAGGGTGGCCAGAGATGACCTCTCTGAAACCCAGTCAAAACTCAAGAACACCCCCCTTCTCTGAGAAGCATTTGCTGGTCTTTGGGGGCTTTATTCCAAAATTCAAACAGGAGCTCTAGGAAGGGCCTCTGGAGCCTGCCTATGAAGAAGGGTGCACACCTGCAGCTCCCAGCACTATCTGTCCTGCAAGAAGGCAGCATGCATGCTCCTGGCAGGAGGGGGTGCCAGGGCCAGCTCTTCCTCACAACCTGTAAGACCTGGGCTGGCACCATGAGGAGGTGGTGGGGGTGGGGCAGGAAGAGGTGCAGTTCTGACCTTGACAGCTGGAGAAACAGGGAACTGGAGGATTTATAAAGACCGTCATGGCACCCTAGGAAGAAGGCAAAATCTGACTTTCCAGATGAGGAAAGTAAGGCCCAGAGAGGGAAAGCAACTTGCCTCAGGGCACCCAGCAAACCAGGGCAGAGCCAGAGCTAGAACCCACATTTTCTGCCTCCTGCCTCCTGCAACAGGCCACAACTGTAACAGAGACTTCAACATGATACACACCACCATTCTCTCAGAAAGTCTATTGCTGCCAGAAGAGGCTATGACAGAGAACAAGAAGATACAAAAAGATGGCCCCTCCACCTTAAAATTGATGACTGACTTTACCTGGAGTTTTATAAAGGGCAGAAATTGTGAGCAAGGAAAACAGCCACGTCAGGGTAGCAGGTTCTGTGTGAAATAGCTTTCCTTTAATTTCCTCTTATTATGCTATAAACTTGACTTAATAATAAAAACATGCTAAGGACTTCTTGATGTGTAATTGCTTATAATATTAAAAATGATGGGAAAATGCTTTCAATTAATATGTATGTGAATCATCCTGTGAGATGACACTTTGAACAATTTTATAAGGGATGTTGGGGGTGGGGTGTCACACATAAAAAGGGGGTCTAAGTAACTGTAAAATTGCCAGTTATGCCTGCAGACCTTCTGGGAGTACAGGACAGATGTGAGAGTGTTTAGCTGCAGGCTCCAGAGGGTGTGCTTTTCCTGATTATTTAACCTTTCTGTGTCTCAGTATTCCCATCTGTAAAATGGGGCTGAAGGCCTCAGGAGAAAGGATCCTAGTTGAGAATTATTCTGTGCTTTTAGGTGAACTAGGGCTTTATGATCCAATTAATCTTTAGAAGCTCTTGCCCCATCATTATCATTATGTTTTTTGTATCATTATCCTATCCTATCAAAAGCCTCATCTCTGGTTTCTCCTCTCCAGCAAAAAGATCCCACACCTCGTGCCTTTGCTCAAGCTCTTTCCTCTGCCTGAGTTGCTAGATCCAGCTCTCATCACCACCGCCGCCTCGACCCCCGCCCCCGCCCCCACCCCATTTGGATGGCCCAAACTCTGAATTTCTGGAGATTCACCTGCTCACCTCCACGCACCTGGATCCAGGACTGTCTCCCTGCTTTATGGAAGTTCCTGGGGGCAGTGGCAGTGTCTGCCCAGGTTACATATCTAGTCTCTAACACAATAGGGTGCAGCAAGGGCTCCAGGGTAGGCTGCCCAGTGCACTGCAGAGGGCCTGAGGACCACCTGCTCCACTGTCCTGTTGTTTTGGCCACCCACCTCCAGGTGGCCAGGGCCTGGTCAGAGAATTCGACAACACCTAATTCCAAGTAAAGGACCAACAAGGCCCTCTGCTCCCCAATAACAACAATCTCATGCACATGTGCAAAGCTTGCTCGTTGCCCTGGCTGGTTTGGCTTAGTGGCTAGAGCGTTGCCCTGCGGACTGAAGGATCCCAGGTTCGATTCCAGCCAAGGGCACATGCCCAGGTTTCGGGCTCGATCCCCAGTAGGGGGCAATGCAGGAGGCAGCTGATCAATGATTTTTCTCTTATCATTGTTTCTCTCTCTCTCTCCCTCCCTTCCTCTCTGAAATCAATAAAAACACATTTTAAGAAATCATATAAAAACCCCACAAAAAACAAAGCTTGCTCGTTCCAGCTGAGACTATGTCAGTGTTGTGTGCCCTCCTACTTTATAATGAGGACACTGCAGCCCTCAATAGGCTAAGCTTCCTGACCCACCCAGGTACCCACATTGACCTAAGAGCCCAGCACCCTTCTCACACATTAGCAGGTCTCTATGCATCTGGGGCCCTTAAGTCTGTGATCAAGACTGGTGTGAAGAGGGAAAGAATGGGATGCAAGGCATGGCTTTGGAAGGAGGCCGCCTGATTCTACCGGCTCAATCGGAGGTTTGGCTTAGGGATACCAAATACATAGACACTTATACATGAGGAAACTGAGGCCCAGATGGCATGGAAAAGATCAAGACCAGAACCTGACCTCGAGAGATAGGCCAAGCAAGATGAAAAGGTTCACTAGGACTGAATAGCACAAGCCAGGCTGGCAAATGTCCCCTCTCCTGCTTCAGCTCCCTGCCCCCATGTTCTGTAGATACTATAGGCCTGAGCCCCTCACTTCTATTTGTGAAACTGAGGGAAGTGACTTGTCCTCAGTTTCCCTCCCCTGTAAAATGAGACAGCATTTTACAGGGAAATGGTGAGGTGTGTATGTCAAAGGGCCCAGGACAGAGCCTGGGAGCCAGCCTCCGATGGCTCCTGCCATTTCCTCATGTCCCGGATACCCCAGCGTCAAACACAAACACTACACTTCCTCCAGTACTCCACCCCAAAGACTGCCCTGCCAAGGCCAGGCCACACTTGGCAGTCTGCCTCCAACTTACTATGTGTCCTTGGGCAAGTCCCTCTCCTTCCCTGGACTCAGTTTCCCTGTCCGTTAAATGAGGCTGTTGGGTTTGGATGACCTTGAAGATCCTTTGCTGACCCTGACATATGAATGTGCTAGCATCCCAAAGTCACTCCTATAAGCCCGGGCTGATGCCTGGTGGATGCAAGACTGGTCTGAGCTGAAGGGCCAAAGCTCTCCACGGCCCTGCCACAGAGCTGGCGTTTCACTGTGCCCAGTGGGGGTGTACATGGGAGGTGATAGGATATGACAGCAGGATCGGGTGTTACTGCAGTGCTGAGCTGAAGACTCCACCAGTAGACCCAGTTTCCTGAGTCTCTGGAGACTCCCTCAGGACTCTAGGAGGGTCCACCCAAATGCACACGCAGCTCTCTGCCTCTTGCCCCACAGAGGCCCCTTTGCCAGGAGAGATGACGAAGATGGGAGTGAGTGTGAGGGGTGGCCCTTTAGGAGTGTGGCCTAAGTCCCGCTGGTCAATTGCTGCCTGGCCCTTCACAGGGTGGCCCGGCACTCCGGGGGATACACTGGGGGCTAGAGAATTGCTTTCCATGAACAGTAGAAGCATGAGGCAGAGTCCTGGAAGCAGGGCCTGGACTCGCACCCAGGTCCTTCAGCAGTTGTCCTACAGTCTCCACAGCCCCACGACCTTCTATTCTGCACGGGCCCCACATACACTAAGTGCTCCGTAAATGTCGCTTCCTTTCCCTTCCTTCTTCTAACTCAGGAGGAATAATGCGAAAGGCCTCAAAGACATCATGAACACCAAAAAACAATAGAGGGCCACAGAGGGAGGCATCTGTATCCCAAATCCCAGACATACAGAACAACACTTCACTAGGCCTCAAAATTAGGGGTGGCTCCCAACCTGCTCCAATCCTCACACGTGCTCCTCTGTCTCTGGACTGCCCTCTGGGCCAGGAGGACACATGTGGGGGGTTTCTCCTCTGCTTGAGTTCTCCCCGCCAGTCAGTCTGTGATGGCTGATAACCACCTGTCTGTGGTTCATTCTCTTAAGATGCTCTGGGCATTATCCTGGCTAGACAAGAGGCCCTCAGGATACTGGACGCCTGGCCACATTATTTTGGGCCCCAAGCAATTGCTTTGACAAGGTTTTGTCATTAAGGGCCAATATAAAATAGCCATGGCGGGGAGTCTGTTTCCTATAAACCTACCAGGTAGAGAGCAAGGGCTCTTTAGACTGTGTCCAGCCCCTAAACAAGGGTTTCCTCATATTTGGACGGGGATAATTTTGTCCCCAATGATCTAGTCTGCCCCTTTCTACTAGGTAATGAAAGAAAGTGACCCAGCTTGCTTCTTTTATTGCCCTGGCTGCTAGGAAGCTCCAAGTTAAGCTTTTTATCTCAAATGCTGTATCTTTCTTCAGTCAGAAATTCCCACTAGAACTTACCCCTCTTCTCTCTGGTCACTTCTCTGTCCCTATCTTGGTTACTGTACTTGGTACCCTAGTGTCTGGACTTTCACTGTGCCCTGCCAGGTTCTTCTTGATGTAGGTGAACATGAACTGGGAGATTGTGGTGAAGACTAAACACACTGCAGCCTCCCAACCACCACCTTGAAAGCACAAACCTCCCCCTGCTGAGGCTGGCTGGGGACCATCCATGTGTCCAGGAATGGGCTCCCTGCTTCCCAGCTGAGCTCAAGTCCTTGTGCCAACTGCTCTGCTTACCTGTCATGATCCTCTGGGCCTCGTAGGGCTCCATGTAGCCAGCACTCTCCCCCTTTCCCGCTTTACTCTTGAGATCATTCTTGGCATCAAAGGGATCTGAGTAGTCATCGGCGATAATCACCTGCAGGGAAGAAGATGCAAGGGTGAGTCCACCTTTGGCTTTCTGCTTCACGGCCAGGCTCTGCTCCAACACACACAAACTGAGCCTGCACCACACCAGCAAGGAGGCACGGGGGGAGGGAGGAACCAGAGCTGCTGCTTACTTTCAGGAAGCTCCAATTCTTGCAGGGGTGACAAAGGGCCCCTCACTGGCAGTGCTCCATCACAAGAGAGGGGCCTCTGAGCCTGTACACGCAGCATGGCCGGCTCTGGGCGAGGTGAAGTGAGAACAGAAGGGCAACTGGGCAGAGAAGCACAGAGGCAAGAACCTGGAGGGTGTCTTTGGGAATGTGAATTGCTCAATTTAATGGAATGGAAATGGAAGAAAGTTGGAAAGGAGACTGCAGAAGCCTGGAAATGCTGACAAGTTCCTGGTGCTGGCTGAGGCATAGAAGAGCTTGTGTAGAGATAATTATGTTCAGCGTTCCATTTCCCCCAAATCTGGAACATAACCACGCCTTGGGTAATCAGACAACAATTTGGTGAGATCAACGAACTGTAAAGATGACTGTGGCCCCAGACGGGCCCAATGAAAACACAAAAGCAGCTCAGGATGGACAGATGGACTGCTTGGGCCAGAAAGGGCCTTGGAAGCAACACATGGAAAGACCTTGCTGAAACAGATGGGGAAGCTGAGGTCCAATGGAGGATGGGGCTAGACTAAGACCCTTGGCCAGACCCTCTGCTCCCAGGGCCCTTCCTGGCCTCCTCACTTGTCTGTATTTCAGAAAATAGCAAAGTTTTACAACAAATGGACAGAGTCACCTGGCGGTAGACAGTGTGGGCGGGGTGGGGGTGGGGTTACCCCATGAGATCGTGAGCATCTGGGATTTGAACACTTCAGAGACCAAGCTCCACATCTTCCCTGGAGAAGGGTAAAAAAATCTCACTTGGAGGCTAGGTGTAAACACGACAACTTTCCTTCCCATTTCTTACTTCCTAACCTTCTTGAGTAGCACACTTATCAAAGGGGAAAGGACAGGAACCCACCAAACAGGTTCCCTTTTAACACATCTAGCTCCACTACAAATCCACTGTGACTTCCATCATTATCTATCCCTTTGGTCACACATCTGGCAAAGGGCAAGTTCCTCAACCTCCCAGCCAGGGCCACCCAGCTGCCTCTTTTGGGAGGGGGTAGGTTAGCATTTCTCTCAACCCTGGGGTAACATGAATTGTTATTTAAATTGTGGGTTTAATTAGAAACCACAGGAACCTCCTCTCTCTCCTAGCTCCTGGAATGTAAGGCATTTGAGGGGCCTAAAAACCCAGGGGAAGGGAAAATCCCCCTTTGTCTGCCCCGAGAATGGCAGCTTGTGGCAGCAGCCCTGGCAGGGTGAACAAGTGACCTCCAGCTGCCCGGAATGTGATGCCGGAGGAGGGACAGCGGGCAGCAGCCCTGTCACTGGCATGCAGCCGGGGGCCAATGGGAGGCATAGCACTCAGCGGTCAAGCTCTTCCGGGAAAAGACCCAAGGCTGGAGCGCCCCCAATCTGAGCATGTGCGCCCCGCTGTCTGCCCCCTGCTGCCTCCTCCAGGGGTCAGGCTCTGAGTCCCAGCGGGGGCCCTTCCAGATGCTGACATGGTAATCGCGGCCTCTTTTGAGACTCACTGAGCTCAAATGACACCAGGCAGGGGAAAGACAGGGGGGTGGGGGAGAGCTGGGTCAGGCAATGTCTTTCATTTGATATTTCTATTCTACCCTTTGCAGAACACACCAGGGAGAAAATTATGCATGTGAACCACTGTCAAACAGAGCAGCTCAGACGCTGCTGATCTAGTGTAGGGTTTTGTGTCTCAAGAGGTGAGAAGTCCAAATGGAGAAAATGATGAACCTGCTGCGGCTGACATCTAATCTTAGGTCTTCCGCTCCGGCCTTCCTTCCTGTCTCATTTCAACATGAACATCCTCCATCTATTCTGCAATGAGGAAGGGAGCAAATATTTCCCCAAGAAAACAAAATTATTTGTGGGGGGATTAGCTGAGGAGGTAGACAGGGGAGGAAGCTGGGCTCCAGTCTCTAATCTAGAAATCAACATCCCAGCTCCTCTCCGAAGTGCTCTGTAATTTACAAACATGGAGGTTTGCAGGATATAAACCAAATCTTTGTTAGCCTTGGGACGGGAACTCTGGGAGGCCTTTGGTTCAGCAGGCACTATCTGTACTTTCTAATTAAAATGAGATCTGAGCTTGGGCTGTCACTGGCCCCCAACTGCCTGCCTTGCTTACTTCCGTTTCAATAAGAACTTACAAATCCTAAAACCAGGAAAAGCCCCTGCTCTCTGCTGACATGTGGTTCCAGTTATACCTGCTGACAGTTGAAAATCCTTCCGTTTAAAAAAAAGGTTTAGAATTCTGTTAGTTTAAGAAGCAAATCGGAAGGTTCCTAAAATGTATATTTAATCAACTTGCTTTCGAACTTCAAAGTGACGGGGGTGGAGGAGAGGGAATTTGAGGTTTGAGCAACCTGAAACTAGGCAAACACTTACTGAGCTGTCTGACCTTTTGCAAAATCATGTCCTGGTTTTGGCGAGTAAAAATTTAACCAGGTGTTAGGAGAGTTGCATGGGCAGTTAGCCAGAGTGATGTGTGCTGTGCCACAGGCCCCAGCCACATGCACCGGGCAGTGTGGTCACTGTCTCAGCTGCCCAGGGCTCACTGTAAATCAAGATGGCCAGCAAGAGGCTTGAGTGAAGGCTGTTAAAAAAAAAAAGAGAATAAGTTTCCCCAGATGTGGGCTTGGATTCCTGCTGGGGTTGATTTTGCCCCAGTTAGCAGACAAGTCCTTCAAATCTAATTGAACAATTCAACTAAAAGGAAGACAGCAGGGACTTCTCAGCAGATTAGGCCATCTGGGCACTTGAGATGCTTTCCTTGATTTTGCTCTTGGATTGGCAAAGACCTGATAGGGCATCAGACTTCTTCACCTGGCCTGCTTGTGGTTTCATGGGGCAAGTGCAGAACTGAGAGGGGGACCCAGGCTACTGGTCTCACCACTTCATTATGGAAATGAGCAGCAGCAGAAAGACAAGGGTTATGGTCCTGTCCGGGTGGTTAGAGCGTTGTCCCAATACACCACGGTTGCAGGTTTGACACCCCCGCCCCCCCCCCGGGTCAAGGCACATACAAGAATCAACCAATGAATGCATAAATAAGTCGATCAAATTGATGCTTCTCTCTAACGTCAGTTTAAAGAAAGACAAGGGTTATGGCTAAACCCCAGGCACAAGGCACATACAAGAATCAACCAATGAATGCATAAATAAGTCGATCAAATTGATGCTTCTCTCTAAAGTCAGTTTAAAGAAAGACAAGGGTTATGGCTAAACCCCAGGCAAGTCTCTTCTTGCTGTCAAACAAAACTAGACACCCCAGGTCAGCCCAGTGCCCTTAAAGGACTTTCACAGGCTCATAAAGCAGTGAAACTGGGGGTCCTTGAGAGACCTGCCCCACAAGCCCTTTCTTTTGCATAAGGCCCAGGGCAGCCCAGAAGGCTTGACCATCCCTGCGCACCACCTCTCTGACAGGGCTCTGGGAGTCAGCTCTGCATTCCTCCTTTCTGTTTTGCACACACTGCTCACTCCTTTCCATCAGTCTGGGGCCAGGGTGTTTTTATCGTGGGGACTAAGCATTGTGATAGGAAGCAGTCTTCCTGTTCATCCCCAAAAGGAAGTACCAGAGAAAGATGGGTGTTGCCACTTGGCAACACGTCCATATGCTTTTGCAAGATAGCTGCACCTGGTGGAGAGCTGGTCCTCTCCACGTGCTCTTGGGGGAAAGGTAAACTGGGAGCCACTTTGAAAGATAACCGTTGACACTATTCATTAAAATCCAGAATATTCATGGATTAGCTCAGCAACTTCACTTCTCAATATTTATTCCCAAATGTATACAAGGAGGCATGGACCAAGATGCTCATTGGAGCAAGTAATAATGAGAACTTGCTATATCCTACTATGTCTATCCATGGGGAGTTGCTAAATCCTGCTAGTTCCATGCTATGGAGTATAATGCAGCAGGTTAAAAACAAACAAACATGAAAATAGTTCTTTAAGGCATAGCTTGGAATAAAGAAAAGCACATTGTAGAATGAGAGATACAACCTGATATCTATTTAGGAAAAATAAAACAGAAACCTGTATCTCCATTTAATGTAAAGAAAAGGTCTGGGGAGATACACACTTCTCACTGACACCTCCTTCTGGGGAGGTAACTGGGATTGGGGTGGTTACTGGAAATCAAAGGAGGCGTGTCTGTAATGTTAACACATTTTCAAACAAGGAAAACTTATTGATGCATTATACGCAAAAGTAAACTTTTAAAAAAAGCACCCCTCTTCACAGGCTATTTTTGGTACAGCAGATAAACTGTTTCCCAAACTTGCCTGAAGATAGGAATGGCTTGGAATGCTTGTTAAAAAAACAGATACCTACCCCCCAATAATGTGTATATTTAATAAGCAACCCAGGTGATTTTTATCAGGAAAGTTTGGAAAATGGTAAGCTAGCACCAGACCCCTTCCCCACCAATCTAATGCAAAGCCTTCAGATATTACTCTGGATTTTCACTTTTCTCAGATATTTCTCAGTCCTGTTCATCAAAGTGAAGCAAGAAGTGGGTGTAAAGGCAGCTCTCTCTTGCTTTCTTTCCCTGGGAATCAACTGGAGTAAGAGATGACCCAACATGCCTTGGTCCATCTCCAGAATCCAAGACGTAGAGGTAATGGCATCCTCTGTGCAATCTGAGGGCTGGCCCCACATTGAGCAATAGAGCTGTGTGTGGGGAGAGGGCCACACAAGCAAGACCCTGCCCTGCCCAGTGCAGGGAGCCCGGACCCAAGGCTAATCTGGCTGTGAGGATGTGCAAAGCTGTCTGCTCTAAAGCATAGACTCACCCTTTCAGGGCAACTCTACATGGCTCTCAGCACACTCTCAGAGCAATCCCTGGCTCCAGAAAGAGCTG